TTTCCAACTTGTCCGGTGTGTTCCTTCCCGGGTGTTCACCGCTGCAGTCAGCTCCTCGGAGCGTTTGATAAGGCCCTCGGTCTCACACTTTTAAGGCCATCATCATTTGCACTCTCAACCAGTTGATCCTCTCTAGCACAAAGTCAGTTCACCTGGCTTATTCACAAATGGGTCAGAGATTCATTCCTTCTCAGTTCGGAGGTCTTTTGTAGTTGGAGAGTAATGCTCAAATCCTTTGGATTGAGGTAGATGATCATGCACCAGCTGGGAGAAAGAAGGCCCTGGCTCAGTCTCCTTCAAAATCTCTGCTAAAATTCAAAACATTTCAAAAATCCTAATGTTCACTCATTGTCTCCATACTTCCATTTTGACTCTGAATGCATCCAGTTTATCTGCTGACTTGAACACACAGCCACTGTTTTCCTCTGAAGAGAAAAATTCAGTTTGTTGACCAGGTTGACTATGTCACATAAGTAAGCAAGTATGGGGATGCATTCTGTGTCAGTGAAATGTGCTGCCAGTGGTGGCTTTTTCTAAGAGAAACTCAAGGGCCAGGGATCTAGCTCAGTGGCGCCATGCCTGCCTCACAAGCACAAGGTCCTCAGTTCAATCCCTGGTACTGCAAAATAAATAAATAAATACCAAAAACCTCTGGCCAGTGGTCTATCTTAAGAAATCTTTATGAATGACACAGTTCATAGATGCACATGCAGAAGTGATCTCTGACCAAGTAGTGAAACCAAAAGCCATTCAGTTGTAGCAAGCACTCTGTTACTGCATATACTAACACATGATGACTAATTACACTTTCTTGATATAATTGTTCAGATTTGAACGGTTAATGCAGACTGTTTGGTCTCTATGTGGCAAAGCACTTTTGAAAGTTTCATGTGTTTGTTGGATGATAGACAGTTGCTATTTTTTATACAAAGCAGACTTGAATAATGTGAATCACCTATCACAAAGAACTTGTAATTTAAATAAGACTCTTCCTTTTCCACTTTCAAAACAACTTTCTTTTTGTTGGCATTCTTAGAGCCTTCTGGTGCCTCATCAAAGGATCTCTCTCCCCTTTATTCCCCCCTTTCCCCTTTTCTGGCTAGGGTTAGCTTGTGGGATTACCAAAACTGTGAATGAGACAAATATTCAGTGCAGAAAAGAGGTAACAGACAGAAGTGGTAAATAAAATAATGGTTAGGCCATACATGGACTAAAATAAATGTCCAATTGTGACCACCAGATGCAGCTGTACAACTGAAGTACATCGACTCACTTGCGACTACACATCCAGCCACCATATGCAGCTTGTCACTTGCCTCTCACTGATTGAATTTTTTTTTCCACCATTAAGTTTATTGGTACATTTTAGGTATAAAATACAGTTATATCCATCACTGGGATCTTGTACCATTACATGAGTATCTTGGTTCTTATTTTTTTCCCCCTTCCCCTGCCCTCCCTTCACCCCCTCCACCCTTCCCTTTTTGTGAAGACTTTGTTTCCTTTTTTCCTTGTGTTTTCTAATCCTACTAAATTCAAATACAAGTTCTAGGGGCTCCTAGAGATTTCCTAGTATTTTCTCTGTAGATGATCATTTCATCTACATACAAAGATTTTGCTTCTACCTTGCCAATCCTGTGCTAATTGTGTCATTTTACTGCCAAACTATTTTGGTTTAGGCCTATGTTTCAAAGTTTAATGGACAGATGAAAAGTAGGCATATCTATCCTTGTTCCCCACCTCAGGGAGAAAGCATTATATCTTCTCCATTCATATAAGGCATTTTTGCTGGAAGAATAGAGTACATGTCTTTAATCTGTTGAGAAGGTTCTGTTCTACTTCTAGTCTCCTGATAGCTTTTACCATGAAAAGCTGTAGAATTTAGTCCACTACTTTTTCTCCAACTAGTGACAGGATCATATGGCTTTTGCCTTTCCTCTGTTAAAATGATGATTTTGGGGGGTGGATCTTCCAATACTGAACCAACACTGCCATCCCTATAACAAAACCACTTTCTACATCCTGCCAGATCTGACTTCTAATAGTTTGTTTTGTTAAACAAATTTCTATCTCTGTTCATACTTTTTTCTTCTATTATCTTTATCCAGTTTTAGGATTAGCACAATGTTGAGTTCCTAAAATGAGGGGAGAAGTGTTCCTTCTTTTTTCTGCTTTAATTGTTTGATATAATTTATCAGTTAAAATGTTTATGAGCCTGCTGCTGTCATATAGGTAGGTTTTCAAGCTAGGAATATATTTTCTTTAATAGGTGCTATTCAAATTTCATATTTCCTCCAGAGTTAGTTTCATTAATTTGTCTTCCAAGGTACTTCTTAGAAGTTGTCAAATTTATTTCAAAAAAGATTTTTGTAATATGCTTTCTATATCCTTTTAAATTCTGTAAAATCTGTGGTAATGTCTCCTAGATCTTAATATTGTAATTTAAAAAATGTATAACTGATACTGTGTAACAGGAAGAAAAGGTCTAAAGGAGCAGGGTAAGTGAGAGGGGTAGGGGAAGGGAATAAAGGGAAAGGAAAAAATATGAGAAGAGGAAAAAAATGGAAACAAGGTCTTTGCAAATAGGGAAGAGTGGAGGGGGTGAAGGGAGGGCAGGGGAGGGGGAAAAAAAAATAAGAACCAAGATACTCATGTAATGGTACAAGATCTCAATGATAGATATAACTGTATTTTATACCTAAAATATACCAATAAACTTAACCGGGGCGGGGGAAAAAAGAGTCTTGTTTAAGGATTTGGCTAGTTAAGGACAGAGCTCGGATCCAACCCAACCCTGCCCAACTCCAGAGTCTGCACCGTCCTTCCACCCCTCCCCTGCCGGAGCAGAAGGGCGTCCAAGTAAGAACAGGCTTTTCTCTAGATGTGGCAATTTCCTGTTTATTCTAAGCTGCAGCCTGGCAGTAGAGAGCTCAAAATGCCACATAATAATTACATCTGCTTCTGGTGTTTCAGACAATTTTACGAATGGCTCTCACTTCAGAGATATACTTTGCCAAGGTGCCTGCTTCACAGCTAGAATGCCTGTGTCCTGTGGGGACAAAGTCAGAAGGAGTCTCAGTCCCCAAAATAGTCTGGTAGTGGCTGGTGGCAAAGTGAGGTTAGAATTTGAAATTGGGGATTTGGTTGCTGTTTTTTTTTCTCACTGGGCACCTAGAAATTTCCTGGCAAGAGCTTAAGGCTTACACACATCTGTCACCCCACTTTATAGTGTGACTGAGTCACATCAGGCTAATTTTGAATTCTTTTTTCCTTCACCTCTGACTAGAGGTTCAGGGAAAGAATGGACCATTCATGATCACATCGATTCAAAGCCGTGTCAACCTCTCTATCTGGGCCTATAGAACAAAAATCAGACCGCAGTTTCCTGATGCCCATTTGGATTTGCCAACTGCTTTTCAGCTACAGACTTTCTTCTTCCTGATTAGGACAGAGATGCTTCTGGGGAGGGGATGGGAGAGAGGAAGAAAGCAGTAATACATCTTACCAAGGCAACTTCCAACCCTAGGATCATGTGATTCCACTAGCATATACTTCCATAGGCACAGATCTTACTCAATACTGGTCTCCCTGCATTAGAAAATCCAAATCCTAAAAAAAAAAAAAAAAATCCAAATCCTTTGTGTCACAGCTATTATTCTATAAAACTAATGTTTGCATGCAAACATATATACTATACATATATATGCTTAACATATATACATGTTAGCTCACATTGCTTATCCACTTACATCTTAGGAAAATCACACCACCATACACCTGTGTTTTAGGTATTTAAAAATATTATCTTATGTTTCACCAAGAGTAAGTTCTAGATTTATGGATGCTACTGTTAAACTTCAACAAGCAAACAGCTGTACCAACCTGCTATAGCTCATTTCAAGGCTACTAGCACTTACACTAATTGATTAAAAACGTAACAAGTAATGTATTGTAAAACTATTGCATGATGTTTTTAAAGTAATAGAAGATCAATGTTTATTTTTTTCTTTTCCTAGACTATATATATATATATATATATATTTTTTTTTTTTTTTTGGTACCGGGGATCAAACTCGGGTCCTTGCGCTTACAAGACAGGAGGCAGAACCACTGACTCAGGTCCTTGTGCTTACAAGACAGGAGGTGGAACCACTGAGCTAAATCCCCGGCACTAGACTATATTTTTAAAAGCCACACATGTGGCTTTAATGCTCTTTGCAGATAAAGCTGGATGACGGTATAGCAAAATGGAACTAGGCTGCATTCAAACACTCCACATGCTCTTACACGCACAACTACAATTCCTGGTGTGCTAGGCATTTGACATTTAAATATCTGAATGATTAAGCTCAATGCTTTGAGAAACTACTGGAAGATCTACTAGTATTATCTGATGGAAGGTTTGCAACAATTGATTATAAAATTATTTTGTTCAATTTTAAGATGAGTTTCCAGTTCTGACCTCAATTAAAACTTACAGTGGGTACCCTTTCTTAACACTTTAAATTGTCATCTTTCTTTCGTTCGTTCAATAATTGTTTATTGAGCAACTACTACATAATGATTGGACTTGAAAAAGATACAAATTTAATTCCATTAAAATTATAATCTTATACAATTCAAATAAAATTTTCATAGAACAAGCTCTTTCATGGAATCTTTATAAGCTAATTTAAAAATGTGACAAAAAAGCACTGGGTCAACTGCAAAGGATCATTTTATGGAAAGAGACCAAATTAAGAAGGCTCCACTTCTAAGAAACAAGACTTATGATACAGACAGTGTGTATTGACACAGGAATAAACAGCAGGCCAATAGATCACAATGAAAAATCAGAAACAGACTTAGGAATATATATAAAGTAAAAACAATATTCAGGCCACCAAGAAAAGACTGCACTATTCAGTAAATGGTACTGCAGCAATCATTTACCTATATGAAAAGAATAAAATAAGATTCATACCTCACATCCTCTGCAGAAGCCAATTTAAGATGAATCAAATAGGAAAAGAAAATCTATAAGACATGTAAAAATATGAGAATATCTGTGTTTCAGAACTTCTTAAATAACACAATAGTAAAATTCATTTAAAAATCATCAATTGGTTACACTAAAATTGGGCTGAAATTAAACATTTCTGAATAAAAAAAGACTACAAACAGAACAAAACAAACCATGGTTTGGGATCAGACAGGTATCTAAGGCATTAATAAAAACTGCAAGGCAATAAGAAAACAATTCAAAATCAACAAAGGAAGGAGAAAATCTATATCAGCAAGAAATTTATGAAAAGATACTGAACTTCCAACACAGAATATTAAACAGCCACACACTATTTCACAGCTATAGGAATGGATGAATTTATAAATCTGACAATACAAAATATTGGTAATAATGCAGAGCAATGAGATCTTCATATATTGCATGTAATAATTGTACAAGGATTTTGGAGAGCATTTTTCCAATATCTAGTAAAACCAGTGATCTACAATTCCTCTACTAAGTGTAAACCTAGCAAAATTCTGCCCCATTAGTGTAAGATTATTCTTTACAGTTATTTATTAAAGCCAAAAATAGAAAACAAATGTACATCAACAACCTGATGATTAAGCCAATTGACTGAAAAAGTAACAAGTAATACATTTATCCCTGATGTAGAATAATTTGTGAATACACTAGAGCAGTGAAATGAAAGGACAGGAGGGATGTCTTTCAATTTGGGCAATGATCACAAACATGACATTAGATGAAAAAAGCAACTCTAGTAAGGCGACAGAAAAGTAGCCTTATGTTCTAAATGTTCATGAAGATCGAGGGCATGCAAAAACAGTATTATATGTTATGAATCTGTGCGTATGTATTGAAAGTCTGAAAAATCAAATGGAAATACTGTACCTCAAATCCATCAGTTACCTCTGAATGATGAACATCGTAAGTCAGTCATGTCTCCTAGAAAAGAGAACCCCATACAGAGATTGCATGCTAACAATTTTGGTGATACGCAAATTCAAGGTGCCAAAGGGGAAGAAAGACAAACTGAAGACAGGAAAGGATGGGATAGAAAAACAAGTCAGCATGTTAACAGCACAGGCAGTACAAAGAACCATCCTCGGAACAAGCGCTCCGAGGGCGGGGGAGGGGAGATGGATCTTTCACTTCCTCCGGTCTTCTAGCTGTCCTTGGTTTAACCTCAGGAAGCGAATTCTCCCACGCTTCTCGGACCTGTCACCTCTGTGGCAGTTGCCATGGAAGCCATCTCCCAAGCCCCACAGGAGGACGCTTCATTCGCATCTTGAAACGATAAAGGAGCTAGCGAGTTCTAGCGTTTGCCTGCTGGGCTGCGAGCAGTGGAACCTCTGCCCAGAGTGCCTTGGGGTGCCACTGGCAGCCTCGGCGGGACCAACAGGCCAGGCTTCAGGAGCCGGGCAAGGAAGAGAGGATCTGATTGGCTACAAAGTGACCCATGTGAAGGGAGATGTGATTGGAAGTACGCATGAGGAGATCCAACTGCATAAATGTATTACTGCTTAAGATGAGATGAAGTCCATGGCTATTTGCTTTATTATAATTTTGGTACATAAATTAGATAAACATATATTACATGTTAAATAATAGATCTAAATGTTTTGATCCAGGTAAAGGGTTTTAAATCTGTTTAAAGTATTAAGTTGAGCTGAGTTTTGAACTTTGGGGAGCTGTATTTTCCCTCCTCTTCTGTGGGCAGTTATGATACACAGAGCTTGTAAGGAAGTGTTGATCAGTTTAGAAAAACAAAGGAGCCACATTTCTTACTTGTTCAGGAAGCAGAAGTGAATTTGCAACCTTCCCACAGTAGCAATTTCATTGATGAGCTGAGTTTTAAAACTGGCCTTGAAGTATAAGGGTCTTTGGAGAGACATTGATAGGGAAGAACGTGTCATATAAAATGAAATGTAGACAAGTAGTTCAGGGAAAAAGGAATAACTGTTTGAGCAGATCATTTGTCTTGCACAGGAAATGATGAAATACACAGTTGGAAAGACACATAAATGCAAAGTGCAGAGAAACCTGAAATGCCTAACTAGCCTATGTTTCACTGACAAGAGAGAAACTGAAAATTTCTGAACTGTTATCTTCCAGGCTTCCAGATTTTGTGCAGTCATACGTCTGAGTTTTAATTAATGGAATGTGTAAAGATGATTCCTCCTAGCCTGGTTCATGGAATTTCCTTTGCAATACGCTAGGTTTTCTTTTCCTTTGCCTCTGAACAGATATAGAGAACCCAGTGGAACTCTCTGAGCCCCCAAACGATGGCAGAACCACTGCATAGAAGAAGCTGGAGTCCCTGAATGACTGTATGAAGCAGAAACTCTACCCCATGTGCTCTGTGTACACTCAGTGGTTGGGACATAACCAAGCAATAAACCTTTTTGTATTAAACCACTGACAATCAATATTGTTTATTATAGCAGTTAGTTTATCCTACCAAATACACTGTGTGATTGCATTTATATACCTGTCTCTTAATGCTAAACAGTGAGCTCTTTGAGGGCAAAAACATAATTCTTCACCCAAAATTGACTAGCACAAAGATGATCAATAAATATCTACTGAACTGATAAATAACCAGATGGAAGGGGAAGTAAAAGGATTTAAGATGTACATGTACCAGCTAAATATTTGAATGTAATAATTATGTAATACAAACATGTACCAATAAAAATTTTAAAAATAATAAAAACAAATGATAGGAAGTAGGGAGGTAGATCATTTCAAAAGAGGAAAAGGATCAAGAAATAGAGAGAGAGGGAAGAAGAGGAGGGAAAAGGGATGAAAAAGGAATTAAAATTTGTTGTATAATGTACCAACTCCACACAAGGAATGTAAATATTATGTATCGCAAACATGTAAAAAAACTTCCCCACAAGGAATGTAAACATTATATACTATGAATGTGTACTAATTTACTAAATAAGTAAATAACCAACTAAGACGGGAGAAAGGACTAGTATATTTTACAGCATTTCCCTTGTGCCCATCTCTTCTAAAATGGTTGTTGAAATGACCAAGCACAGAAAACAAAAAAGTCCTTAAACATCAGAGATATAAAATCGCAAGGTAACCAGATTTCACCATTTCCAAATATCCTGAGTATCTGGGATTTTGCTGAAAAAAAAAATTGAGATTTGGGTCCAGTGGTTTCCAAAAGGCACAATCACACATCCTTCAGAGCAATAAAGGAAAGCAAAATTCTCCCCCCAAAATTCTCCACATTCTATAGGTTCAAAATAATTTTATATGTAAGTTTTCACTTACGAGAAGGAAACTTCAGAGTTACTTTCTCACAGCTATTCTGACCGGATAATCTGTTGTGATAGATTGAGGCAGCCATTTATCCCTGCTGAGTAAAACTGCATCAAAAAGGCCTGAAAGAATCAAGCTTCCCTCTACCTTGTTACCAACAAACATCTGCAACGCATCAACCCATGCAGCATTGGGGGACTTTCCTTGTAAGGGCTTTTGAGTGTTGACTCATTGAGTACATAATTAAGAGTTCCTTACAGAGAGTGAAGCTAAGGGGTCAATTTCTGTCTGAAATTTCTCCTGAATACCTTGAAAAAACAAATATATATATATATATAGAGAGAGAGAGAGAGAGAGAGAGAGACAGAAAGAGAGAGAGAAGTTCTATTATTGATTTAAAAGAAAAATTAGTATGCCTTTTGTAGATCTAAAGAGAAATCAAGGAATCAGACATTTGGATCATTCACTCATGTAAATTTTTGTAGAATGCATAGGTGCATTAGCTAAGAATGACTGATGATTTTCATCCTGAACTGAGTTTGGTAAGCACACGCCTCTTCATTAGCTGTGCTCTGGCTGATGGGTTGTGTCCATGTGTCTCTTCATCCCTACCCTACCGGACCCTGGCCCATGCCTTACTCATTCCTATGCCACAGGTTGGGGTGAGGAGGAGCATGTTATGGGTCTCTCAGTGCTGTGTTTCACGGCTGAAACTTTAACATGGTTTGTTTGGGGACTGTGTGAAAAGCCCACACATCGAAATGGCTGCCTTAAAATAGCAAACTCAGAATGCCATTTATTCCATCCATCTTTCTCCTGCCCAATTCCCATCATCCTGTCGAATTTGCTTCACTTGAATGGCTGCATGCAAAGCCACCTCTGATGCTAAGTTTGGTGATCCACACTCTTAATTGTTGAACATCTACTGATTTAGCAAATAAATAAAAGCACACACATTTTCTTAACATTCTTCCATGTATAGTATTCATTTTGCAAATATTGTCCATGATTTGCATCTTGCACAAAATATAATCCCTCTTTCAATTATAATAAAAGTTTCTAGGGAAAATAAATAGGAAAGCATCTTAAAGTGCTAAAGGGAAATTGAGCGACAAGCTGCTTTTAGAAATGTTTATTGACATGTTTAAACTCATGTCTAATGTCCTAAAGCATTAAAATACACATGCAATTTCTACTTTGCTAGTAATTCAAGACTAAGAAGTGTATTTTAAACATTTGTCTACATCAGTTTCATTAAGCCAATGAATCTGGCTGGCAAGATGCTGGGATATGGATGTCACCGGGAAGAGAGTCAGCAGTCCTGATCCCTCAAAGAAGCAGAGAGAGTGGGAAAGATGGCTCTGCAGTTAAGAACCAGAACAAGAAGCCCTGCAGGGTGTGGCTCGCATGCTCAATCTAAAACGCCCACAGAGCCAAATCCGACTTGTAAAAGAAACAGCATTACCAAAGAAAGTCTTATTAGTGCCACTATTGTTTGAATCAAAAGGAAAACAATAAACGCCATAGAAGAGAACTACAGGCCTTTTTTCAGAACTGTTTCATGTCTGCTCCGCCTGATCTTACAAAGCACACCACGGTTCAGGAGGAGTGAAACAGCAAATGAAATGCTATCAAGATGCATTCCATCGTGGAAGGCTTTTTGCTCTGTGGTTTTTATGAGGAGGATTATGCTGTTCCAAATATCCCTATCCAGGAATGTGCCCAAGAAAATACTCCAGGCTTTAATAAGACAATGGAACAACTGGAATCTGAAAACAGTGGGGTACAGGGCAGCAGGAAGTGGAAAGGACTTTTAGTGTTTTCCCTTGATACATGAGAACACTGATGATGGCCTGCTTTTATTATTTTCTCTCATGATTTATTTTGCAATTATTTAGTGAGAAATGGTGTTTTCCAGAAGAAAGAAACAATACTATAACATGGACAAAATGTAGGCCCAAAAGAGAAGGAGTCCATCTGAAAAATCTGATACTGTAGTTAACCTGCCCTTGCCCATGCATTCTCTATGATCTCTCTATATGATTCCATCTACATCTTACAATAGCCCAAATGCTTAACCTTGTGTACCCAGCATAGATGTCTCACTTGCTCTACAAATCTGTATATTTATACATCCCTTCCTGCCTGGCATTTCCTCCTGAACATTTGTTACACATGTCTCAGACTCCACTGACCATATCTCTATCAACCTTACTGGAATCTGCAAACATTCTCAGAAGTACTGAAATTACTGTTGAATTCTGAAACAGTTCTCCCTTGGCCTTCCCTACAAAGAATAAAAATCACTTTGCACTAATAGATATAAAGTGCTAATGAGAGTGTTAGGCTACTGCAGTGAGTTCTGTTCTTACATCAAAGAATCCTAAAGTCCTATGTAGCCCCTAAGATATAAAATGTTACAGGCTCTTCTGATTGTGTTGGCAGGCATTCGAGCTGTGTGTTAAAGCTATCTTCTATTAGAAGCAACATCTCTTTTGTGAATAGGTAGATGGGTATAGGACGGTTAGACAGATGGACAGAGGGACGGGGCATTAGCTATCAATGATTTGTAAAATGAGGGATGAGTCGGTCATTCATTCTCAGTGGAGTAAGAAAGCATCAGAATATAATGAGCCAGTCTCTTTGCTGAAAGCTCTTTCTTGGTCCACTGTAAAAATGGCTTCAATTTTGAAAAACTATTCTGTTTTCAAATATATTGCTCCAGTATGATATCTTCTTTATCAATTTTGGGGTTTAGGAAATAGAGTTTTTAAAAACTTACAGGGGAAAATAATAAATGTTTGCCTCTCACTTGCTACTCTCAGGCCCCTTAAATTTTTGGTAAGGGAAAATACACTAAATGCTGAACTACAAGACTGTTAACTACTTTTCAACTTTCCACTCTTGTCATTTCTCAGTCCTTGCCTTTCTTGACCTAACAGCAACATCCAATGAAGTTAATACCTCCTCCTTTTTGAGTGTTTTCTTTGCTTGGCTTTGATAGACCACTCTCCCTTTCTTCTCCCCTTACTTCATTAACTGTTCATCTCAGTCACCTTCAGTGGTTTCTGCATCTGCTCACACTCTAAACCTTGTCCTGACTTAGTGATCATTCTTTAATATCCTTGCATAAGGTGTCATCAAAAACTACAGTGAATG